GGGTTGTTACTTGTGCTCAGTGTTGGGATAGAGGCTGTTCATCATAAAGATGCCCGAGATGTGTGTGCAAGGCAATTTGATATTCGGAATTCTTTGTTTTCTGTTTCATTCTACAGTAACAAATGGTTCAGTGAAGAATCACATAGTATGAGTAATTAAACTGAATAATTTGCAAATAACTTAGAGACTTCTTTTTTTTTTTTTTTTTTTTGGACAGTATGCTTGTTGAATTTACCAGAGAAAACTGAGTCCAGTTAGTTCACAAACAGAAAACGTGTGCAGTGTTCAATAGATCGTTTCACTGTTGCTCATCGAGGCATCTCTGAGGTAACTCCTGAGTAACCGACGAAGACTAAAGCACTTCAGAGTTGTTGCTCCCACAGACCCCTCTTTGTTATTCCCCTCACCTGTACAAACGCAGCAGTGGGTGCTGTAGCTGTTACAGTTCAAGACTGCAGTTTAAACGAGATTGCTTTTTACAGTGCGACAGGGATCAGAAAATGAAAGGAGCACTTAGTGAGTGTCACTTAGCTGGATCTGGGATTGCCGGATGAGCTAGCACGGGGAATACTCAGCAGCACCCCAGTTGCGTGCCTAAAAGGAAGAATCCTTCACTCCTGGGAGAGGTGAGGCACATCTATGGAGAAGACAAGGCATTCCCTGGGCTGCAGGGCTGCCCACTGCCCTTTCCTATGCCTGCGTTTGACAGGCATTTCTGCTGTGAGCCAGTCATATTACAAACAATTAAAATTATGTAGCCTGCAGATCAAATGAGCACGCGAAGAGCAGCATTATGTTCATTAAATAAAACCTAGTCATATTACGATAGATGACAAATCTTGTTTCAAGGGGAGGCCATTTTTAACTGAAAAAGGAGCAGCCAAGGGAAAAAAATCTCCATCATCTCAATTTTTGCAGTTACAGCAAAATCTATCAGTGAAATTTTGCAAAACACAGCCCTACATATGCATTTTTTGGCACTGCCTAGGGCAAGAATTCCCAAATGGCTGTGTATGCACCACTGAGAGTATGTACAGACACCTCAGTGTGGGAAAAGATACAGCACAGAACTGGGACCTGTTATCACTGTCAATACTAAAAAGTGCGTGAATCTCTCAGTGAGGAATTTCAATCAGTTTTCAAGTCAGAAACACTTGTATAACAATTTTTGTGTTGGGGGGTGTCATTTAAATTATTTTTTCCTGCATTCAAGGTCCTCTATGCCTTTATGCTCTGTAAAATTTTTTCAGGCCAACTGTTCCGCAGCTGATCGGTCACCTCCCTTTGAGGGGATCATACCAAGTTCTGCACTGTTCATTTGGAATTTTTTTTTCATGTGTGATAATGTGTTTACTGATTGTACATAGTTTGATGTTTTATGTTTTTCCACCTCTTTTGAGGTAGAAAAAACCTGGAAGCTGTTTTCTCAAGTCTGCTGCACAGTGCCGTTTAGGGCAGTGGTCACGTCACTGCCCAAGTGACTGTCCGGTTCACTGGTACAAAGCCGGTTCAGTGTGTGGCCATGCTGCCACATGGCCCTTCTCCCCTTTGATTTAACCTTAAAAGCTCATAGTTGCATTGCATGTGTCCTCACTACATTAAGATGTAATTTATTGGTGCTGTTTGAATAGAAATTACTGTTACTCACAGTGATTATTACAGTCACCGAAATGACAGAATGTATGGAAAATAATGCCTACGGACACAGATTTGCAACTTTCATTCATTTCTGCTACTACAGCATTTTGAGTTTGGATCTGTTGTGATTTCATGTCATCCCTACCGCATCCTTTCTTCAGATCCCCCCTTGCAGAGCACCTTCTGTCTCTGCTCTCGCTCCCCAACTGCCTTGACAGCCTGCACAGTCTCTGGAGGAGGGGGAGGGGTGCTGGTGTCTTCGCTTTGCATTTCCCAGTGTGGTTTCATGAACTTAGGAGGAGGGCCAAGTTAACATTTGTAACACAAGCTAACATTTAAAAAAAACTTGCCTTTGTTTAAATAGAAATCATCTTTTTGTAAGACTGAACTACAGAGCTGCAACACTGCTGTGTAATTCAGTGTGCTCGTACGCGGAGCCCCGAAGAGAACTGATGACATCTGGTAACTAGAAAAGCAAAGCTCAAGTGATTCTTCAGCGTTATCAGAAACCTGACATGGGTACAGCTTCATTCAGGATTTTGTTAACTCTGTGTGTTAATTTTAAAACCAGTCAGCTGCTATGATGAGCCTTACATAGATGCTACAGTAGTGCAAGAAATCAGGAGATAAATTAGCTATCAGTCGGTGGGCTGATTGACTTGTTTCTCTTCTGTTTGGTTTTCGTCTAATTACAGTTGTATGGGAGGATTTTTCTAAGAGGGGTGAGGAACAGAGTGTCCAGCAGCACCCACTTAAGCAGTTTTGCACCGTTGATTTTCAGTATGTGGATCTTAGCAGATAAGAATTTAGGAACGTTTGTCGCAACTGCTGGAGATAGGCGCATGAGATCGCTGGTCAGTGACAGTGTGGCCAGGAGTTGTGTGCTTCCTCATCTAACGGGTTCTTTGGCAATAGCTTCTTAGCGTTAACAGTAGAATAGCAAGATTCATTGCAATAACACAACTGGGTTTTGTGCTGAGAAATTCCTTCTGTCACGTGCAGTGAGGTGAGGGGTGTCGCTCTTCGGGGATGTGGCAGCTCAGAACTGGGCAGAGAGGTTAGCTGGGTGCCACTGATGTCTGACTGCTGACAAAGATGGGACTTGAAATATCCCACCAGTCAACCAAACAGTCTGCAAGATACCGAATGCCATAATGAGAGGTACAAAGTCGTCATTAAAATTGAGGCTTCTGTAGATCCACAGTAATGATTTTCTGCTCTTTTACATTTTCTGGCGATGCATGTTGGTTGCCATTTTTTTGCCATCCACCTTGTGATTGAATCGGTGCCCATGTTACTGTTTTCTGAGCTGTCGCTCACAAACTAGCTGCTGGGCTTTTTAGCAGTCAACTTCAGTGCTTCTGGACAACAGCTTAATCATCTCATTCTTCTCCATTCTTAAGTAGATTTATCCATCATACATTTTGAAGTCCATTCCTTTTCAAGAAGGTATTGTTATTGTTGTTGTTGATTAATTTAAATACACATAAATATGAATTAAGTGGGATCTGATTCTCTAGTTCTGGTTAATCGCATGCCCTGTATTTATATACACAGATTTCAGTGTTCAGTGATCAAGCCCTAGATCTCTCAGGCGCAGACTGTGTATGCTCAGTGCTTGATTTTTTCCTTGTTGTGGTGCCCAGTAATGTGCTTAGGTGTCCTGCAAAACTGATTAACAAAGGAAAAACACTGCCCTGCAGATCTTACAGTCTGTTTTGGATGCAGCAGGAGGTTCAGGAGCTCATAAAATAGACCAGGACATAAAGAGCAATACAGGTTGAGAATACAGGGAGTAGATAAATGATTGCAGTTTTTCAGGTGTTTTTTCCTGTGCTTATTTTTATGTTTTGTAATCCTATGTAACTCTGCTCATAGGTGGACATGCCACTTCCTAAAAAGTGTCCAAAGCATCCCCCAAAAATGGGGAAATGCCAGGAATAGAAGGAAGAGAGGATAGAGGCTGTTACTGGGAAGGGGAGAAAAACGGTAGCAAAATAAAATGTGTAGGGGGAGAGAATCACAGAGCAATACATACCTCGGTTTCAAATGTGGGAGGCATTCTGTTTCTCAGCTTGTTTTTGCTGTCTATCTATGATCATAATTTAGCTAGCTGCAAAAAGGATCTTGAAAACAGTCTGAGTGAGAGAGAGAAAGCATTACTGTGGAGAGAGCCCAAAATCCCGTCCTCCAGCCTACACGCAATTGGACATTGCAGTGATAGGGGGGAAATCCCTTAACGGACGAAACTATAAATGAAACTACTGTTGACAAGGGGAAGAGGCTCAGCTATATTTAACGGAAGTGTTTTCATTTGAGAGCTGCTGTCTTTTGCCGCTTTTTTTCTTTTCCCCTTCTTTCTTGTCTAGTCGGTGGAGAGTGCAAGGGCTCTTCCTGTTTGAGAGAGTGCATGGGTGGTTTCCCCAAGGCTTTTAATGTTAGATTAATGCTCTGGAGACAGCGTGGTGATAAATGGGCTCCTACAGTTATATCTACATCCTGTTCCCCCTCCCCCCTCCCGCATCTGCCCCTATGGACAGCCGCTCTGCAGCGCTCGCCTTCATACCCAGCAACAGTTTTGAGCAGCTTCAGCCAGCGCTGAGGGCACCGCTCTTAAAAACTTGGCCACCAAAATTCCTCAGTTTTCGGTGCCGTCGCCTTCTCATTTCCAGGGCAGTTAGAAAAATGACATGGGGAAGAGAAAGTCTTCTGGTGAAAGGACAGGCCGCTGCACTGTCTGTTGTCTTGGCAGATCCCAATTAGTTACTCTTGCTATTACTGTTCGCTTTTGGAAAACAGGTTTACGGGAGTGGCCTTTCTGTTGGTTCAGGTTTTAGTGGCAATGCTCTGCACGTCATATTGTACTTAGCAATTAATGGGCTGAGGATTTGAAATCTCTTCCCTGGTATAAGGGAATGGCTCCTCTGCGTCAGCTGCATCGATGCCTTGATTTTATACAACTGGCGCGCTGATCGGGATTTAAATATTTCGCTTCAGAAAACACCCACGCTAAAATGCAGCAAGGGAAATGGAGATTTGAGGCACTTATTTTAGCTGGACTTGCCCTCGTGGCGATTCCTATTTTTTTATGTGTTTGTTGCTGTTTTCAGTTAGTGCACTTCTCTGGTTGTTTTTCTCTGCATGCATCTCCATTTCCATACAGCTTCCCCTGTACGCACAGCGTGTTGAGGAGGGGGATGGTGGGTGCAGGATGGCTCTTGTTATCCCCCCCCCAGCCCCATGCAGCCAGCCTCAGAGGCAGTGTCTCCCAGATCTCGGAGCAGAATTATTTTTAGAGCGGGAAGGTGTATCTGGCTGGTGCATTTTGATTTCATGTCATGGCTTCCTTTTCCTGCTCTCAGGTTTCTCCCACTCGGCCTTCACCTTCGGTATCGAGAGCCACATCAGCCAGTCCAACATCAACGGAACACTAGTGCCACCTGCCGCACTCATCTCCATCCTCCAAAAGGGGCTTCAGTATGTGGAGGCCGAGATTAGCATCAACGAGGTGAGTACCCCCGGCACGCTGCCCTGACGTGCACACGGGGCCTAGGGGAGCGGGGCGAGGCCTTCCGACAGGCCGCAGATGCAACCACCGAGCCCTGGGTGCAGTTCGTCTGCCGCCGTTTTGTTCCTCACACTTTGCCCCACCCTTGGCAGAGAGCTGAAAAGCTCCAGGATAGGGGCTTATTTCAGTTTTTGGCTGTGGTGCTCAGGCTTTTTTTCTGCTCAGCTGAAATGGGTATTAATGGTGTTTCCACTACCCTGGTCAATAAATCCAGGGTGCACGGATTCCTGCATCAAACGAGGAAATGCTGCTGTGTTTACAGTCTTGCGTTTTGAAGGTCACAGCAGAATTTGGCAGGGAAAGCCTCCAGTGTAGGTTAAAACTTCACTCCCTGACACCTGCTCACAGGCAGCGCTGCTTGCCAGCCAGGAGAAGCCTGATCAGAACACCACGGCGGTCACTGGAGAGGCTCTGTTTAGTTTCAGTGACTTTGACTCAGATCGCGTAACACCAGACCATCGTCTCATATACGTGGCAAAACAGTTGTGTGCAAATTCTGACCCCAGCTGGGGCACTGGTTGTCTGTGGGGATTTTATGAGCAGCCACAGCATCTCCATTCTCCTTGAACTGCCAGAGAGAACAAAGAGGGGATGTGAGAAAAGCCAGCATTTTTGCCCTGCCAGCCTTAAAGGCATGATGCCTCGAGAGGGAGTGAAGCATGACAGATAAGCATGTACCGCATTACGAAATATTTACCATAGATACCGGTAATTGTCAGGTCTGTAATAAATATTAATACATAAACCACTATTGCTTGTTCCTCTGTAGTGGAATGTAGCATGTGAACAGCATGGGTGAGAACAAAGGAATATAATATAGAGAAAAGGTTGTGTTGTTTGCAGTGTGTAGTTTGGAAACTCATTTGCTTTTATCACTAACATTCTGTGTGGTTTTCTTTTTATGACTCGATACCATGTTCAAGAGCTGCATACATGTTATTTTTTAACTGGGGCAATGACATTTGCCATTCATGCCAAGCTGCACTTCGGTACAGTTGTAATAACAAACAGCGCTAGGAATCTGTCCCAATTCACTGCTGCTTAACATTTTGCTCTGTGCCTGAAATTGGAGCTACGCAGTTAGAAACTTTCAGTCAGGAACAGCTCCTGTCAGTTCAGGTCGTATGACATCTGGAGGGGTCTGCTTCTGTGCATCCAGCTTCAGAATTGGCCTCAGTTGTGGGAATAATCTAAAACTATGCGTGTTGTCACCATTGAGGTTAATGTTGCTCTCATCGTGGTTTAATTGTGTTTAAATAGTTACTTGTAAGTACATTACAGCAAAGCAAAGGCCATCCTTGCTACGTCTGATCACCAGTAATGGCCAGGTATATGCTTCTCTATGTGAGCATATTACTTAGGGCGGCAAGTGATCGGTGAGTCTGTAAACTAATGTGTATAAAATCAAACTATTGTTCGTGAGCTGCAAAAGGGCAGTCATGGAAATAGTCCAGTGAGCAGTTTTACGGTTAAAAATGTAAGATGCCAAAATCCATTGGCAGACATTTTTTTCATTGTGTAGCAAGGACTTAAGCCAGGATTCAAATAAATGTCAGTAGAAACATTTACATAAAAAATGTTGAGGAGGAAGAGAGATCATATTTTTCTTCTCTAATGACTCTCCTCCTTTTTCTTCCCCATGAGGAAACAAATATGTATTATCTTAATATTGTAATTGTAAGTGGTAATTCAATGTCTAGTCCAACGGAAGCATACTAGTCAGCCAAACTGCTGTTTTTCTTTATTAGTTATTGTTATCTATTGAAAATTATATCATTTTTCAGCTGCTTCATCTATCCATATCCTAATTTTATCTGTTATTCCTCAAACACAAATCTTTCACTGCTGGGTCTTGATTATGTCAGAGAATTAAAGGGAGTTTGCAGTAAAATGGCTCTTTATGGAGACTACTAAAACCTTTTTCCTCTACTTAAGCGAATAGCAAAGTGAGGCAAAGCTAAGTAGATGTAGCAGTTGTTGACCTGGGTCTGTATTAAGCCTTAAATAACAGCCATTAAAGGTTAACTCATTTATTTGTTAAACCTGAAACCTAATTTACAGAAATCAAAATGAAAGCCATAACTATTATGAATAAAACTAGTGGGAAAAAGGAAATATGATGGTAAAGCAGTCCTGTATAATCAGCTGCAACTGGTGGTGTTGGGCTGATGAACTCAGTGTAAGAAGTCACTGAATTTGTGCATACGTCTTGTTTTGGTAGAGGTTCATTATTCATCAGCTGCTTCTATTCCTGTGCCCGTGCAAGTGCAAGAAGGCAAACAACTCAAACAAAGTCTATTTGCCTTTGTCATGGCACTAACCATGACTCTTTTTTTCCAAACACAAAACAAAGAGAAACTTTCTGACATCAGTCAGACCTTTTTTTTTCCCCCCAGCATATTTTTTTTGGCATCTCTGAACAGTTTATGTGCCTACATTTTCTATAAAATTCCAATACATGACTTACTAAACAGATTTCTAAGTGGAACATGAGTAGCACCATCATGGATCTGAGAGAGAGACGGTGCGCAGCAATGTGGCACCGTTGGTTAAGCCGAAGTGCGGTATCTTAACACAACCTGGTTTTGCTTCTTCATTTTGTTACCTCTTTGCAGACCTCAGTGGTGAAGATCCTAAACTTGCAGTTTCACTTCTGCTCCTTTTCCCTGCAGGATGGTACAGTATTTGACGGCAGGCCAATAGAATCACTGTCACTTATAGACGCGGTGATGCCTGATGTTGTACAGACCCGGCAGCAAGCATTCAGAGAGAAACTAGCTCAGCAACAAGCCAGTGCAGCAGCGGCAGCAACGGCAGCAACAGCAGGAGCAACGACGACTGCTGTTTCCCAGCAGAACACACCAAAGAACGGAGAAGCCACTGTGAACGGAGAGGAGAATGGGGCACATGCAATAAGTAAGCCAACCCTTGCGGCTCCTTGCCACTGCTGGGGTAGATGGGAGTTTCAGTGATATTCTTGGACTTGATGTCTGCAAGGCGGGAGGACTCAGGGGAATCATTTCAGGGGGTATTTCTAGAAATACTGAGTAAAAACACCATTTCACGTCACAGTGCTGTGTTTTACTGGTGTCCTCTCAGAATCCAAAGACTTGAGATATCTTCAGAATTGGAAGTTGAAGCCAGTATCAAGAAGTGGAGCTGCATGCTCTCTCCTTGGAGCAGACTACCCAGATTTCATTAATATTATCAGCTTTATAGGTGCTTTTAGATACTTGATCAAAGCTGGGACAAGCTGTAGGTAGCCACTGTTCATCATTCTGGCCAGGCTGTGAGGGGGGCTGGGACCTACAGGCCATATCTGTGTAAATGAAGCATGGCCAGAGCATGGCCTTGAGCACTAACTATCCTATCATCATCAGTAGCCTTGGCATGGTCCTTGGCACGCTTTGGCCTATATCAGCTATTCACTCTTGTACAGCGTGGCCAAGCACAGGATAGGGAGTCGCATGTGTCAAGGACCATTCCCGGTAGACAGCTTAGATGAAGCCAAGATGTCTTGAAGGCACAGAGGAAGGAGTACATTGGGTTTTTATTTAATAGCACATGCTTAATCCACTGCAGATGGCTAAGTAAAGGTCCTACCTTTCTGAGATTTCCTTAGTGTGGGGGAGCAGTGCTTTCTCAAGAGCTCTGGATTGACCTTTGTTTATTGGTGACAGAGGGAGACTGAGCTCCTATCTTAGACATCTGAAGTCAGACGTATAAAACAAGGAGTGGACATACCTGCTTGTGTAACTAAATCTTGATGGCTCTGCTAACATTGTGGGACAGATGTGATTAATGGTTCTGGTTCCTGTGTGCAAATCAGGCGAGGGCATTGGCTAACTTCTGCAATGAAACCTTAATGTTTGATTGCCTTCCCAGGAAGTTCTAGATGAACATGCATGTCAGGTTTCTTAGGAAGCCCCAACAGCTCTTGGCTTAGACAAGTAGCAGATCAAGACTGTAGTCACGTAACAGATTTTATTTGTTCTGCAGTGCAGAGACCTTTATCAGTCTCCATCTTCTCTTTGATCTGAATGGATTCCTCTGCGGGTCAGTGAGAAAAATGCTTTCAAACCAGGTTTTTCTTCCGAGAATTCCAGTTAGACGGGATGGTTTCCCCCCCAATAAAACTGCAATGACTTAAATTACTTTTTTCTTTTGAGAAAGCATTTAAAGTATTTTGAAATATATTAATCTCTTTCTAGACTATGGAATGCTTATGTTTACTTTCAGCAGACCCTTTGTTTTGAAATTGATCTTATTTCATATGTGAAAGGATGCAGATAGAAATGAAAGCACTTCTACATGTATCAAGTGCTGACATTTTGTTTGTTGACACTTCAGCTGATTTGTAAAAATTTGTGGGGGAGTGTCTTTCTTTTTCAGGACCAAAATTCCCGAATTCTGAAGGTAGAAAACTGATTATTGGTTTATCACCAATGCAGAACCACTCAGACTTACTTGTGTCTGATCTGAAGAAACAAACATGCTAAAAAGAAAGCCTCACAGTACAGTTCAGGTGTATGACCACACTCTAAGCCTTGATCTCTGAGTTCTACCATTCTATTATTAAAAAATAATAATTCTCACAGCAGTTTCTAGTAGGAAGGATTTTCATGAACGGTTGGAGACCTTCCTTGGAGTGTTGAGAAGGAAAAGTCCTGTATGACTGAATATCATCCAGTAGCTCTATCTGGAGCAGGATGCAAAAACATGATACTGTGTTGTCCAGTAAAATTTCACGGAGGTAGGATACATGTCAACCAGTGAGATGCTCTACCAGACAGCAAATTCTAAGGCGTTACTGTGGCTAAGCAGCCTACCAGGCAGACAAGTTAACTAAACAGTCACCGTGAGAAGACAGAAAGTCCTCGAGGAGTAGCTGGCCAGCTGGCATGTGTTGTTGGCAGCTGCTGTCGTGCCAGTTGTTCATTCTGAGTGAAGACATGAGGTGTGCAATTTAAAAGGAGAAGGAGGCTTTGGAGAGAAGCTGCTGAGAAATCCAGGGACAGCCAACTCTCTGATCTGTGTGACTCCCTAGCCTTGGGAGGACCTTAACCTTTATTTCTGAGGCGTTTGGAAGATACCGGCAAGGTGGTGTAGCACAGCTGCAGATGTGGATTATACATGGGAGATCCACACAGAACTGTGAAACTGAAATTCTCACCCTTAAACAGATGCGCTTAAGTAAACTCCAAGGGATCTGCCTCATTAATTGCCAGAAACCACTAGAAATGAAGACTTAACAGATCTAGCTGGCAGTTTACTGCATGGGTCTGATTACAATTGTATTTCCTTCTCTTGTGGTAAAGTTAGAAAAATATTGTCACGTTAACAAAATAACAAAAGGGTACATACCCTTCCTTTTCATTGTTTATGCAGGGCAAGCTGTATATCCAGCCTTACCTTTTCACTTACCACTGTGTTTAGAGAGTCTGCTTAGTCTAGGACAGACTTAAAAGATCTGGCAAGACCTTAGCCAAGACAAAAGGTTTAAGGTAGGAGTGGACAAAGGTTTAGGATAGGATGTTAAATGGCTTAGATAAGGGCAGAAGGTTTTGGATGGATGGGTGGATGGATAGAATAAGAGATAGGACAAGTAAAAAGATGGGTAGGATGAAAACTGGGAGACCTACTGGGTAGAAAAGATAGCTGATAAGAAAGGTGTAATAAACTTCCCAAACCTCCATTTTCACTGTTGTTGTATTCCACAGACCTGGTGTATATAGGGACGGTTTTGACTGGTGTGCTAGTCCTTCATCATAACCTGGAAGTCACCCCTATATCTGTCTGTCATAAAAAGGTGGGATGGGGGGAGCAGGTGAGCTTTTTTGGACATCATGTAGTTTGCGTTTATTCAGACATGGAGTTTTCCATGACACTATGAGTCTTCCAAAAAAGCATTAATATATTTAATATACTATGATATATTTTTGTGTATATTATAAAGAATATAATATGATGGGGTGATTGGATTTAAGAAAGGGACAGACAGAAAAGGATCTAACAATAAAAACAGTTTGAGGGCAGGTTCAAATAATAAATAAATAAAATTGCTGCCTTCTATTGCGGCTTCCTGAGTAATGTTTTCAGCTTTGAGTCACTTTAAAAATTAATAAGGAAAAAAAAATTGGTGTTTCGAAATGGAGCCAAACTTTGGATTGTTTTCCAACTCAAATATTTTTAGTGTCATTTGTTTCATTATATTTACAAGGATTGGCTTGGGTTTAAGAAAAATAAAGCTCTGGAAAAAAGGCTGAGCCCAGTTCCTTTATTATAACTACAGCTGTAAAGGACAACTTCAGTGAAAGGCCTGTCAAAGATTTAAGTAAAAAAACATACTCCCTGAGAAAAGACAGGGTAAGCACTGGTAAGATCTTAAAAATCTATCTTTTTTAATTTGGAGGAAATAGAGCCTTAATATTACTCACTGGTATGTTAGGATTATATTTAAAAAAAAAAAAGGCACCTTAATCATCATGCTTTGGGGGAATATGACTTTTAATTTCCAGTTATTCTGGATTTTTAATACATGTGAGGAAAAAAATTTAGAATAATCTAGCGTAGATTTAGCCAAAGATCGTCTGGCCTTTAGAAAATGGTTTGTGTTAACATTTCAGCAGAGCCTTTCACTATGTGACCTGCAGACTTAAGTTTTCACCTATCTGTTGCGCTTGGTGGAGCTGCCCTCTCTTTCAGAGGCTCCCTCAGAGGCATCCTTTGTGCAAATAAGGTCTAACCCAGAGCTTTCTGCTCTGAAGATACTTGGAGGAAAAAAAGCAGCCTATCCTCGATGGTTGCTGCATCTTACCTGTTTATCCTTGTTCCCCATGCACACATTGTAGCTGCATCCGTAGGAAAGCCGAATTTTTGGAGAAGACCAGGTCTCGCAAGAGCTTGTGCTGCGTAAGGAGCTCGGCATCCTCACTAGGCTGCCGTCTTGTGCTCAGGGGCTTCTGCAGTTTTTTGGTTTAGTCATAATCAGATCCAGGTTATACTGCTAGTTTCTGTCTGAATCTGAGAAGAGCCTGACGCGGCGGCGCAGAAGCATGAATTGTCCTGTTTGTTCAGTGGGGTGTTTTAAGTCTTGTGCTTAACTGTAGCACTCTGAATATGAATGTTCCTGACTGTGATGGAAACAGGAAGAAAACACATATAATGTGAATGTTTACGGGTGATTTCTGAAAGACTTGCTGTCTTTCCCTCCCTTTCCTTCTGAACCGTCAAAGCCGTAGTGTCAAAATCATTACTGGAAGACAGTAGAAAATAATCCTGCGGGTGCTTCATTGCCGCCGGAGGCCGGTCAGTCTTGCCTGTACCAATGCCTGTATCAGGTGATGAAGGTTTCTTTTTCACAGCATGACTGTTTGTGTTGGGTTTTTTTCACAGCAGCTAATAACATGCCAGGTGTGTGTCTGGGTTCCTCCATCTGGCCGTATACAAACCAAAAGTATTCCTAAGGATCAGATGGCCTTGCTCTGATAGCACCTCATGACTCTGGGACCCTGGAGTAGTGCTGCTTCCAAGCTGTCACTTGGTTTTATTTGAGAGTGAAAAGCAGCTCTGCCTTTAGAGCCAGGCAGGTAACAGTAGGATCGTATGTGGTAAGACTAGCATCTCAGTTAAATTTTTAAGATGAAAACTCTTGAAAGATCTAACTTCTTGATTTACCCCAGCTTCTAACTCACACTGTGTGCAGGACACAGATGAATGCATAGTCATTACCCCGCTGCTGTTTTTCTCATGAAAATGTGCTTTAAACCTGGTGATTCTGTGCTGTGCTGAGAAACAGGATTGCAAGTTCTAGACTTGTATCTTTGGATGTGTCATAATAGTGCTTTGCTGTTCGTTGCCCTGATTTCTCAAGATATAACGAAGTTCCCAGCTGCTAGTGTCAGGATAAATCTTGAGGGCTAAAATATCTTGACAGTATTAATTGTAGTAGTTATATACATAGGGAATCATCAAGGACAGTGCTTAACATAGCACATTGGCATAGGTGTAGATTTTACCAATAGGCATTTGTAATATGTTAGTTTAATGCGACAAGTCCAGAGGTAGTAAGTGCAGTTAAAAATACGTAACTTTTGAATTAGAAATGTGAGCTGTGAAACTAGTGTTGTTTTCTAATGTCGATGCTCGGTGCTGTGCAGCTCACTGCATTACACGTGGATTACATTTTCTCTGGGGTGTAGGTGTGGCACAGGCATAGTTAGTAGGGTACCTAACCAAATATGCAATGAGAAGTGCTGCTTGGGTGACTCAGTGTAAGTTAGGCAGAGCAAAACAGGGTACGTGAAAGCCTGGCTACGGGTAGGAATCTGGAGATCTTCCTTCCGACGGCAGTTGTGCAACGTCGATGGGCAGTAGCTCAGCAGAGCTTGAGTATCCAGACAGATGGCAGGTTTTAAGTGCCATAAATGTGTGTCGGTAAGGAAGCATAATTATTCCACTTGCCAACCTATGGATCTCCGTGTGTAATTAAAGCATGACTAACTAAAAGACCTAACCCAGAATGAGAACTTGGGCTTTGATCGGTCAGAGCAGATCGGCTGGCCGAGGCATTGGGTTAGCTAACGCCAGGCTGCATTTCCCCCCACCTGCCAGCTATCCGCCCTCGGGGGTGCTTTCCGCGTAACGGGCCACGCGCTTCTGTGCCTAACGTCTGCCGTCTGCTGTTTCAGTGCGTTACCGGCCCTTGGCGGGTATCGTTCGCAGAGGATAGTGATCTTGCGTTGCTGCCAGGACGCGTCGTTTGAGCTGAGTGAGGAAGATTTATACTACAGCAATGAAAATCTGGAATAAAAACATGGTTCATGATGCAAATTGGAATGAATTGCTACCACTAAGAGAAATTCATCATTTTAAATTCACTTTTTTTCCCCTAAAGAAGTAAAAGAGCTTTATAAAAACAAAGTTACTTAGACTGCAGTCTAAAGAACCCCAGAATTACAGCACACAGGTTGCATGTATCCATGCCTTAGTTGGTACCTTTGCATTTATGGTGATGTCCTTGAGAAGGTGATCACTCACTGTTTCACTGCCATGCTCACGGAATGAGGCCCTTCCTCAGTATATTCTTCATCGGTGAGTAGCGCACATATTACTTACATGACACCGTGTAAGAAAATGTATGTGCTGTATGTTACTTTTTGAAAAGAGCAGGGCAAAGCTTTTCTCAAATGTGACAATCTGCTATTTTAATAAATCTGTAAGTCATTTTTAATGAAGCCAGCTTCAAAAAAAACCTATACTGAAGTAAATGCTAACTATTTTTTGAAGAAAAGCTATTTGTATTATTACAAAATATTTTGGAAAGCTCTACATTTTGAGTAGATAGCAGAAATTTGAATCTTTATAAGGAAGAAATCAGAGTAATACGGTCAGTGACACAACACAGGATATTATTTATAGTGTATACATTGCTGTAAGCTCTAGGCCATGGGTAGCCAGCTGGTGTTAAAGCAGACCCAATAGTGTCCTACAATCTGCTTATTCTGATATATCTCCTTACAGATAATCATTCAAAGCCAATGGAAATTGACGGGGATGTTGAAATTCCTCCTAACAAAGCAACAGTCCTTCGGGGCCATGAATCAGAGGTGTTCATCTGTGCCTGGAACCCTGTCAGTGACCTGCTAGCATCTGGGTAAGAGCATGACTGAAACTGGCTGCTGCTATTAGAGCGTAGTTAGAGGTGCAAGAACTTGAGAGCGTATAGCAGAGATGAGTGAGTGTCCTCTCGACTGCTTATTCAGCCTGCAGCTGTTTTCTTCAGCAGTACTGTACCTATATAGCAGTTAAGTAATTATAAGGTGACGCAGGATGGGGAGCATTTGCTCATTTAAGGTGTGCACTCTGTGTCCTTGAATAGACTTTTCTTTTTAAAGGGTTTTAAAATAACTGTGGATAATTATGGGAGTATTTGAAGTTTATGTAATCTACTGCTCTTAGTTAATGGTTCACACTGGGGTCTCAGAAGGTCTTGGGGATCCATGTTTTTCTTCTAAAAGTGGAGAGACTCTAAACCAGAGTTCCCTTTAGCTATGTCTGCATGAACATGGTGCACAAACAGGAGTAGACCTGTACAGCAAAACTATTGTGTGAGGACCCTCTGTCACCACTGTTTGTATTGGATAGAGGGGCTTCAGGCTGGACCTGGTTTTAACCGATGAGCTGAACACTGAGTGTTTTGAGGGCATGTTTTGGCTTAGTGTCATTGGGAAGGAGTCTAGTTTGTGTCTGCAGGACTGCTCAGCAATGACAGCCAAAGAACGGTAAGTGGGACAATCAGGAGATTGACTTACAAAAAGCACTTTTGATCAAACAAAAATGCTAACGTAAACATACCCCAAGAGCTATGTACAGACACTGTTGGCATCTGTGTTTGTTCATGCTTAAAGTTAAACCTTAAAATGAAGGCTAAATTTAAGAGTCTAGCTGGGAACGTGGAGGAAAGCTGATACAAGTTAGAGGAGATAAATGGGTCTTCATCATATAAAGTTGCTTAGTGGTATCAGGACACATTTCTTACCAGGAAGAGGAGAGACATTATTTTATTTCCACCTTTTTGCAAGATCATCAGAATAGTCTTACCTTTGTTGACTTATTATATGAAAACAAGGAATTGGAGTGCAAATGGGAAAGAATAAATAAGAAAATCAAATACCAGGTCAGATAAACAGCACAAGATCTCTAAGAGTGAAGACAGAAGTTTCCAAATAACCATTTCCGACAGCAAGCTGGATTTTTAGAAAACAGAATCCTACTGAATATGCTTAATTTCTGGAATTTTCAGGCTTCTAGCATCTGTAGCACTAAGTATCTTCATTTAATGATTTCAGATGGATCTGGGGGCAGAATTTGCAAAATCTGTATGAGGTTTTGGGGATGAAAAATACTTGGTTTTCATCTCTTTCTTTCCATAGGCTCAGTGGGTCTCCTGTTTTGTGAGTCCCTGGTGGTGCCATGATACAGACAACAGCAGTAATAGCAGCCACGCTCCTATGCCATGCATTTGCTGTATTTTCTGCTAACGTGTTCCTTTACCCACTCAGTTTTCTAGTGTCTCAGGCAATATTGCTTGGCAGTATTACTTATCCCTAGCAAATGATTGTTATTAAGAAGGCAAGTCCTGATCGTTAAGGTCAGTTTCCAGTTAAAATAGGCAAGTACAAAACAGTTATTTCACACAGATTGTCTTCTTCCCAGCATACAGTTGAGTGAGCCATAAAAGGAGATTTATTTAATGTATAAATAAATAAAAGCTAGGATTGACAAATGTGTAAGAACTGTAGCATATATTCCTTAATTACCCTGGCCCAAATCTGAGATGATGTTTTGAAGGAAAAATAAGTGAATCAAGGGAAAACAAAGGATCTGTGATGTACAGGAAGTGTTACTGCCTACATAATAATTTGTTGAATCAACATCAAACGATCCTGAATGAACATGCTCCCGTACTTCTCCTCTAACTTTTCAGTGTATGCCTAAATGTTTTGACTACCCAGAGATGTTAAATCATGGCCCAGTAGTGAAGAAAACCTCAAAAACTAGGAAGACTTTAATTAACATCATTAAGTTGTTTCCATGGTTGTTTCTTATTAAAGATCTTATTAAAAATCTAGAGAAGGTTTCGTCAAATCTGGAAAAGCTTTCCCATAGTGGGGACAAACTTGATTAGAATTTCATGGTCTGTCTTGAGATCAATAGCTGCCGCAATTAGGATCATTCAAATGAAGGGACTGTGTTTGTTGATACTGTAGATCTCCTTTAGCCCTGTCATTCTAGACAGTGTACTTTTTAGTAGTAAATACAGCATTTATTTGAATTCTGTGGAGAACAGTCTGCAGGTGCTGAGTTAGCACAGCCACATTATTATCTTAAGGAGAATCGGTGGGGAGAAAGGATACCATCCAGAATTATTCCTTAGGGACACCTGCTGGCACCTGAGATGAAGTGAAGATGCTGCTTTATTTTGGAGAATAACCGCACAGCTGAAATTAGGCATCTGCTCAAGCGCTCTGCCCCTCTGCAGGTACCTCCATCTCCCAACTCATTACCTAGGGAATTAAAGCTCCTAAGTATAGGTGCTCAGACCTCATCCTGGTGGCTTTAGCATGGGTACCCGACTCACCTCTCTGCCAGTGCTTCCCGTACTGGACTGCTTCCCTAGGATCTGTTGTTCGCAGTCCTAGCGTGCACAGTTTCAACGGTGGGCCATTTGATAAACCACACTGCAGTGACTGAGGAACCCCTGGGTGTTCAACTTTGCTGCAGGGTGCTGAGCACTGGTAGGTGGATCCCTGGGACAGTGATGTCTTGCACTGCTTCAGGTAAAGCTGGAGGATGATAACCAGAACCACTAGTCAGATGTCTAAGATAGAAGAGTACCCACTCACTATCCCTTCAGTTAAGCTTTACCCTTCAGTGTAATAGGTCTTTCTTAATAAGCTTTGCTGCAGGGTTTTGAAAGCCCATAAATACATGCCTGGTTAGAAAGTACAGTCAGGTGCTGTGTCTAGTGCAGATTAATGGCAATGCAATGAAAATGCAAATAATTTAGGTCCGGGTGCATCTTGATCAGATTTTAGCCTGCTCATAAGAAACAAAGCATGTGATGCAGTAAGCCTTCAGGTAATGCAGCACTGAGTGCCTGATGAAGCTTGCATGACTGAAAACAGTGTAGAATGCACAGAAAATGAAACCAAAGGGAGAAGGCTGAGTGACTGATTATGCCACTGCCCAAAGAAGCGTTTGAGATGTCTGGTATAATAGTAGTGCAGGCTGTCATCTACAGGTAAACTATGTGCTGCGGCACCAGTTAAACAAGGGGGAGAAATTCCCTGAGATCTACAGTATGCTGCCGTTCCATTTGTCCTTTACAAAATAATGCTTCAAAAAAGTAAACCACAGTTAGTCTGATGTGCGAACACTGAATTGTTAGATTCTGTAATAGCCATATTGGGCTGCCCAGTCCATACTTTTCTTCTGGTTTCCCATCTGCCTGAGAGTACCCATCTGTTGCCTTCTTAAAAAACACATATAAAACCCTAACTATTAAATAAAGGAAATAACACATTTGTTCTGTTTGTAAAGTGCCTAGTACAATCCAATCTCAATTTATGGCACAGTATTTTCTTCAAGCCTTTTTATACAAGCAGTATTTTTTTCTAACAATTAGCAGCAGTTTAGACAGCAACCTGATGTAATCTTCAAAGCACTAAAAGAGTTATGCAGGTTCACAACCTAATCTGAAGCAAGCTGTGTAAGGGGATTTGGTTGTAGAATGAATTACCCAAAACTAGAGCATTGGTTTCCAGATTTAGCAAATATTGCACTGGTAGAAAGGGATTTTGATACTTGATGTCTGATCTACTCAATTGCTGTGATTTTTTTTAGGGTGTGAAGGGTAGCACAGGAATATATACTCTCTGGACTTTGCGAAGGGCTATAAACAACAGTGGAGACAGGAATCAAATAGCCAGAAAAAATATATTCTGCAGCTGTTCTCCCTCCACCACCACACCCATAACCCTTACAGTGGAGGATGGAGGAGACTAGAGATACAAGTAGAGGCTGTCAAAGGCACAGCTGTCACCAGGTGCCTGTGAGCAGAATGCTTAGATGTTACGAACGGAAGCATTATAATAGTACAGTAGAGTGCATACATACAGCCTTGTAATAAGATTAATTACCTTCTGTGAAGTAAATCAACATTCCAAAACAAATAAGTCCATACAGTGTTTTGGACAGGTTAAGAAAAAAAAAAAAAAGAAAAAAGTGGGTGCTTGGCTAAATCTTAAGATTTGGCTATTCGCAGCAGTAATTCCAATTTTGCTCTTCAAAGCTATTGTCCTCCTCTTCAAAGGCTGATTTCTTCCCTGAGATACATTTCAATGTCTAAGTTTTAATTTTATGGCACAGGTAAATTGTTACAGACGGTTATGTTCCCTGGGTAGTACAGAAACCCATTACAGCTACGTCCACATTAGTAAACTAACCATGCCTGGGAATATTCCTGGGCACTGAGGCCGATTGGCACGGTGTCTGTGCTAGCAAACTGTCCTGGCTGCCAAACAAACTGCACTTTGGGAATCGTCTCTGGACGTTGTAACCACCAGGCCATGCCCAGGAGTTACTCAGGGAGAACGTCGGGGCCCTCAGCAAGAGCGCTAATTAAAACAGGCTAAAGCCTGACCAGGGAGTAACCTATCAGTTCGCTAGAATAGGGAATTCGCTAGACCCGGAATGTTCTGAACACGCTTGAATTTCCCACTGTAGAAGTGGATGGACCGTGAATATCAAGAATGCTAGAGCCTTGAACTCCAAAAGCTTTTCCAGTTGAATTTCGACTGTTTCTGTCAGCATGTTCAGCTCCTGCTTCCAAGAGCGTGCTCTCTTCTGTTACATCCAGCCGTGCCCTCCAAATGATTCTTGTAGCCATGAAGCAGAGGGACCTGGCCTCGTTCCCAAAACCCAGCAGTAGGTTTTTTTGCTTATCTTTCCTGATCTATACCAGCCTCTTTCACACAGGGGAGCTTTGCCTCTTGCAGAATGCTCCGTGCACCTTTGCTCTCCATAGTCAGCAAAATAATTAGCCGTTTGCCCAAGATCTTTCAGTTATGGCTGTGTCTCTCAGAAACAAGA